CCCCAAAACCCCAAAACCCCAAAACCCCATAATGCTAAACTAAGCAAAAAGTTACTTAAATATAAATCTCAAATTAATTAATAACCATCTCGATTGTGATAAAGTGATTTCTCAAATTAATTAGACTATTTATATACACACTTATTTTATTCTATTAATGATTTGAATTTCTATTTTTGATATCCTTCAAAAGCAAAGGATTGTGTCAAGTGAATCTCTTGATCACATACAATCCATCATCCTATCATTGTCTTCATCGTAAAGAATTTCTTGAGTACGAATTAAGTCATCATTGTCATTTTATTGCATTTTCTTTAGGAATAGATCTGGATCTAAAGGCTAGTTCATTGATTACTCACCCTCAGTATCAAGATCAGTTTGATTCATTTCGTAAGCATTATTAACATTCTGTATATCATCAAGTTTTTTGTTAATTTTAATAAGTAACATCATTGAATCATTTTTATCCTTCCTCTTTTATCTTTTATTTCCAGCACTCTGATTAGAATTAGATTGCCTTTTCTTTGATTTTTTTTAATCATTTAATTTTTAATTGTCAATTTTAGTTTTACTTCTTGTTGGACTCCTCTTAACTTTCTCTTAATTTTAAATTTCACTTTATTTTTCAATTTTAGCAAATTTTGTATCGATTTTTATTCCTTGCTTATTAACTCTTTTTTTCTTTTGGATTTTTTAATTTATCTCAGGATTTTACTCATTTTCTTTCAGATTATTATTTCTATGATTAACATTATTATAAATAAATCATGAAATTACATTTTTTTAGAAGGTGAGCGTTTGGAAGGTGAGTTCTTCCTTTATTTTGGCAAATTTTCACTTGGTACTGTTTTCCTTTTCTTTTAAGGCGAGTTATTGCTCTCAACTTAAATCTAAATCTCTGGATTTTATTGCATATTTTATTCTTTTTCTTGATTCTTTTTAGCTAAAATTTCCTGTACGGTCAGCTTTTTTTCAACAGAGGAATTTCCACTTGGTATGTTACTTTTCAGTAATTCATCCAAACTCACTTTTTCTACTGATTTTTTTTCTTCAACTTTTTATTCTTCATCTTTTACATCATCATCATCATCTCCTTTTTTCTTTTTTTTTCTTTATTTTTATTTTTCTTTTTTACTGCTACTTTTATCACAATTTTACCCTCCTCCTCCATTGTTTATCATTGTTTTCTTCTCTTTTTTAGGAGCATTTGGATTTCTTTTACCTCTTAATTTTCTTATCTTGCTCTTTTCTCAAAATCCGAATTCATTATTTAATTAAATTTTTTCATTTTCCTCGTTTCAACTGAAACTATTGCCCTCACCAATATCACATATGAATTAAAATTGAGTAAAGGCTTTCTAACTATGAATATTAAAATCTGCTTTTAAAGTCATTGTCTCAGGCTTCTCATCTTTTAACTCTATCAATTATTTCTTCCCAACATGAATTTCTGTGAAGATTGTTGGGAAATTGCATAATCTATCTTCTGATTATGTGAACTAAGTTGACTAACTTAAATTAGCTCGACTTTAACCAACAAACTTTTTAAATGGAGATCTGCCATGATTTCCCATTGTCTTTTTTACTTCAACTTGAGGAGGCAAGTTATAATCTGTTACAATTAGCCTAAGATCCTCTTTATATATCTAAAATTGCTCTTCCAGATTCAAATCTTCTAAATTTTTACCATTAACTCATGCAGTCATTCTGGTAAATATTCCATTTATTAACTTGAACTCCTAGACAAGTTATTCATAAATTCGGTCTACTCTTTCGTTCCTCGAGTTATCCTCCATATCAAACATTATTTACTCAAAATTTTTATACCATCTCGGAGAAATCATGAACTTTATTTACATTTGAAGGCTTATGTATAATTAATGCTCACATGGTAAACCAGTATTAAAGTATTCTAGACAAGTACAAAACAGATAATTGTTGATAATTTTTAACTTTTAATGGTTTTAGTAGCCATCTTAATAGATCTTTACTTTGTTTATAAGTATGTAGGTTTTTGACATCTTATCATATTTTATCTCTTTTGATGTTTTAAATGCATTAGCAATGGTTTATCTGATCCTGTATTAGGCATAATTAGTTAGATTTAGTCTGATGTAATCTTAAATAAAGGGTATATCTTCGTATTAATTTAACTTAACAAGTTAGTATTCCATAAAACACTAGGATGCTTAAGGATGTCTTACACAATCTGATTTTGATATTATCCTAGCTAAGTCCTCAACAGACACATCTTTTCAATAGAAATATCTATAGAAATATTGCTTAATTTCTTCATTTCTTTCACAAAAATTAAATCCACCTGTAAAATTGTGTAAATGTTATATTTTAGACCAATAATGCCTTTCGTTATGAATCTTATCTAATGTTTGATATAACTTATCATTATTGTTAGCATAGGACTATTATTCTTTTTTTAATTCATCCATTTGCTGTTCAAAGTATCACTAATCCGTTATTTAAGGTAATGGGTCTAATAGTTAAAATGCTTTACTTAGATACTTTTACTAGGATCCTTTAGCATTTTCGAAGTATTATTTGATTGATTTATGATAATGCTCATTACAATATAGAATTCTCATTGTACTTGAAAATTACTTCTATATAGCTGCCCTCAATGAGCTATTTCTCTCAACAACGAATAACTTAGGAGCGAAATCCTAGGCAAGAGCCAATTTAAAATGAGTCATTGCATACTCAAAGCTTTCATCATCATCCTTGTGAACCATAGATACTCCAAATATTACACTTTTGCCTTGTGAATTTATTCCACAAAATACAATCAAAATTCAACTAAATCTAGTCTTGACTAACCTCTTGTTCACAAAGACGATATCTCTGTATGTCATATAATTTTCATGCATTGAATGAGTTTTAAAAAAGAAATTTGTATTCCATCCTGGCTTTTCTTATTACTCTTCTGCATGAAAATAAACCTGTTTTTCTTTTAATTCTTCTTCAGCTTTTATTTTACTGAGAGCAGTCACAAATTTCCCAAACTCATTTATATGTGAGGGATAACTGGTTCATTAGCCTAATTCCTTTATTTTTTCCTTCTTAACATAAGATTTAAATGGCTTTATTAACCTGTTTGAAAGGTTGATAGTTTTTCCTGTTGCTTCTGATCACTTAATACTCTCGTCAATTTTATTGAGTTGTTAGATCATGCCTCGATAATTTAAAAGCAGCTTTTTTAAATCAAACTAAGGTGAATCATTTACTATTTCTTTCACTGGAGTATCATCTTCAGCCTAATTTTCTTAAGTTAATTATTCCTTTTTCACCAAAAGATTTAACTTTGATTGATCAGGAAGTGTCTAAACAGGTCTTATGTTAGACAGATCAAAAACTTGGATTGCATGATTATGAGAGAATTTATAGGCATCAAATTAATCATAAACAAGCCATATCAAATTCTATGGATCAAATCGAAATGAAATTGCAAATTAGCAAGACTCTGCTTTAGCCTTTTAGTTTTAATTCTAACTATTTTGTTGCTAATTTTAGCCCTTGCTATTGGGTTATTACATTTTTGTACAGTATAATCTTAAAGTTGAGGAGCCATCTTTGTTATATTTAGGTGATCTTCTCAACTTCACTTAAAATCCCAATTGCACAGCCCACAGCTTATTTATCAGATCTACTAAGGAATGATACTCATTTACATACTTGTTTAATACTAAATTTTCTAACATCTAGAACTATTCTTAATTAATGAAGTTCTAAGGTGGGTATAGATTGCTTAGTACAGGTCAAGGTTAGGACTTCTTTGCTTATGATTTTTATTTTACTTAATTTGGCTATTTTTATTGGCATTATTCTTCCTAGCAATCTATCTTGATATTGTGCTTTATAATAGAAGATGGCTTTTCTTAGACATTTAAAATTTATTTATCCTTATTTTAATCATTTTTTCTTTATTAAGTTTGCTGAAAGGGTGTAGTTTTGTTTGATAAGGATTCACCATCAGTGCTTTTCCCACCTTAAAGCCTAATAATGTCACTTTTATCTGAATTTCTCATATATTATGTTATCTACACTGGTTTTCTTCTTAGAAGAGTTGGCTTAAGTCCACCGATCTTCTCGTTTTTCTCCTCTTCATTTGTGTATTCAAAGGTGAACTTTATCTTGTCATTATTAAATAAGCATTCTAGACTCTCTATTTCTCCTCCATTTAAAAAGCTCAGTTCAAAATCTATAATCTACTCATGCACAAGAGAAAATTCCTGACATAAGAATTTTTGCAACTCCAACATACTTTTCCTCTTGTCTAGCTAGAGTATCCTCATTCAATTATTGTAATGAACTTCAACTGATATCACAGGAGTTTTCTAAGGCGTTTAATAAGTTATTGTAGATTTGGGAAGACTACTGATGGAACCAATTGTAGGTGTAGCTTTATTTGTTTAAGACTGCTGCAAAGGGGTGAGTGGGTTCCGCTTTTTGTACATTTAAGTTTTAAATTAGATTAAACTACTTCTACCTCAAAGGTTTTCCCTCTCTTTGAAGTTCAAACTTATTAAGGCGCATTTAAAATTACATTTTAATCTTAAAAATTAATCCAATACCCCTCTCAAATATCCAATGAATTTCTCATAGGGGTTTTGGGGTTTTGGGGTTTTGGGGTTTTGGGG